GGCGGGTACATCTCTTTCCCCTATTCCAAACGGCCCAGTCAGACATCGTAAAACAAGCGCACTAGCTGGTACCGGATTGAAAATGCAATTGTGCTGCCCAGGACCTAGGTACAAATCAAGACAGACAACAGAAACATCAGTGTGTTAAATAGTTTAGGAAAAGGCTGTACTGGGTCAGAGTGACAAGGCGCTCTGCTTTCCCAATAGTTTTATAGCATCCAAGGGTTTGTGCCTTAGGAATCCTCTCAAACTAGCCTGGGGACTTTGTATTTATCAGTTTTTAGTGAACAGGGGTGCGGGGAATGGGGAGCAGTCTATTTTCCCCTTAAGATGTGTAAATCTCCCATTCTCCTCAGGGTCCACAGCTCAACTGCGTCTTGCGTGAAGAGCATGATACTTTACTCCACTGTTTCCCCTCAAAACTCTTGATTTGGACTATTTCTCTTACAAAGTACATCTTTCTACTGGAGGAACCATTTGACTGACCTGAATGAGAAGCAACAGGAGAGTGAGATTTCGCTCGTGGGTGGGTCCAATCAGCTTTATAACAAAGTTAATAAGCGTCATATTATTGCACTCAGTGTATTCACCATCTTCATCCGTTCCACTCCTCACATCTACTATGTGCAAGATCTGGCCTACCTGAGGAAAGAAACATTATACGCTGTTTCACCCGGTATGTTTGTTGTTCGCTGTGGGTTCTGCTCAAGACCCCTTTTGCTGTCCCATCCCTGAAGCTGCTTACTGAAAAGACAGGACAGGCTTATGACGGACCTGGGACATTGCCATGTGTGGTTATTTTGAAAGATGAATTATTAACAGAATGGAGTGACTATGAGAGATGGAGATGGACTGAGCAGAATATTTTCTTCTAGATCTGAGCCAGGAAATAGTGAACCCAGTTGATCTGCATTCCCTCCTATCCTGTTCCTCTCTCACTTGATGACCATCTCAAAATTCATCTGGATTTTGAATGTTTTCCAGGTGTTACCTTTAGAGTGTTTGTTCCCAGGGCAGACAGGCTCTTTGTTTTGAATTTGGAGTAACTCATCTCCAACTTCCCAGTACTAGGATTGAGCCTAAAATAAAAATTTTAGTCCTGATAAGAGCAAGGACACAGACAGAACTCTGTTAGCAGACTTATATCCCTAGCTGAGTAGCAGAGAAGGAAATCTATTGGTGGAAAAAGCAAGAATAATCTCATATGCTTAACAACAGCTGCCGATACCTATTCTGTCAGATTGGGCAGAGTGAGGAGATTCCTCCCCAGCACGCTCCCCAGTATATGCATAAAGCTGTACATTTAAAAAAATAAAACAGAAGAACTTAACATCTTTAGAGACAATCACCAATATGGCATAGTGCCATACAATGCTTGCTACTCTGAATTCTTAGCAGATCCTACTGCAAGAACATTAAAAGCAGCCTGTATAATTTTCTCTCAGTTGTGTAGCTGAGAATAATCATATTCTAACACTGTTAAAGATCACTCTTCTGTATCTGGGGTGGGGTGGTCAGAAACGTTCTATGAGAAACTTCTACTATGTGACTTGACGGTATCTAGCAGAGGGAGCCTGCTAACTTTTAACTATAAAACTTTGACAGCTCTTAAAAAGGGCACCTACCACCACCTTTCTCAGCTGGTGTTTGAGATAAAAGGCACATTCTGTGGTACAGGTATAGGCCACTCAGGCACATTACCTTGGCAGCCGGTGACGGGGACAAGGAATGACCTGGAGGAGTTGAGGCAAAGAGTAGATGAAGTTCAGCACTTGTGGGATGAAAAAAAGGAGCATTGTTTTGCTGAAGTGCCCCAAGATCCCCACCACAGCAAAGGTCATGCCAGCGAAGTAGCAGAAAGTGTCCCCGACAAACACTCGAGATGGGTACCTGCAATCCAGAGCAGAAAAGCAAAGGCCTGTCACAATCACTGTTGCTGTGAAAATGACTTTATAATCAGAGTGTATTCCCATGTGGCAAGTTAGGGGCCAAGAGGAAACTGCAGATCATCTACATAGTACAAACAACAATTGCCAGTATTTATGTGAAGAACTGGGACCGACAGCTGAGAATATGGTATGAAAAAACAGCTAGTGAGATGTGAGGGGGTGTATTCTGTGCATTTTGGTGAGCTGGTGTCACCAAAACTGTTCTAATAACAGGAAAAGCTACTGGAGCAGCGATACTTTGTGCTCTTGGTTCTGGCAAGAAGCCTGTCTACACTCCACTGGCCTGCCTGCACATTGGTAAGTGATTTTGTTTGTTTGAAAATGGAGAAAGGAAATAGGAGGTTTCTAAAGAAACTCTGAATGTACATCCTCTTACCAGTTGTGGTAAAACAGCCCCAGCGTGGTAAAAAAAAAGGGAATCATGAAGTAGAGAGAAAAAATATGATCTTCTCGATAATCCCCTATAGAAAAAAAAAAAGTGTTTGTGATGAGAGGACTAGTTGACTTTTAGTAATACCACATAGTGAAATCTTTCTTTGCTTTTTTTCACCCACAAATTATCAAATTATCTATATTATCTTCCTTACCATTTAACTCCACAATGTTGAATATCATAATGGAAGCAGCTATCACCAGAGACTGTCCTGCTTCAATTCCATTAATTCCAGCAAGAATGTTGATGGCATTTGTGCAGAACACTGCTAGCAGGCCCATGTACACATAGTAGAGGATACCTGCAGATCAGAGCAAGCCAAGTGCTTTAGTATTCATAGGCAAAGCAGGCCCTGGTCCCAATCCCTGAAGCTCTTGCTTCCTGCTCTGTACAACTATCCTAGTGACCCTGGGGAGTCTTGGCATCAGTAGCTTACAAAGAAGAAATCACTCCTTCTGTGACTCAGCTGTCATGTGTATGTGTACATACAAGATAGCAATTGCAGCAAACTCTTGCGACACAGCAGCAGACTGCAGCGCTCTGCGTCTGCCCGTTCACGATGGTGTCAGCAACCAAGTGCTATGTGCACCTGGCATTCAATCCTATCGCTAGAATCCTGGAAAAACGACTGGTGCCCATCTATGCATGGTTGAATAGACAATGATGGCTGTGCTCAGTTTCCAGCCTCATATTTAATGGGTGGAGTTGTGCCCCCTGGCTGGTTCCCTAGGCAAATCCTTTGTGTGTTCCCTCTGCAGCACCAAGTGCCATCAGGCGACCCTTTCCACTGATTGATTGCTGCTTGGATGATGGCTTCTGGTGATTGGTAACTTACCCAGATCCAGGTGCATGCCCAGCAGCACCCGGAAAGGCTTAGGCACCACAATGGTCGTGTTCCCAAAGTTGGTGAAGTACACCATGAGCAGCGGGAGGGAAGCCATGGTAGGAAGAAGGATCTTGTGGCGCCAGCGTAGGTTCAGAACATCATCTGCAAAGCCCAGGAAAATCATGCAGCAGATGGCGAGGAGCGAACCGATGAGCTCCACGAACTGCGAGACAGAGAACACGACGCCCGTTACCGGCGGTCACCCCCTGTCTGTGCCTGCTGCACCCCCTGTGCCGGGCAAGCCTCACCTCATTGTGAGGGAAGGCTGCGCACTGTTCCTCCACGAAGCACCTCAGGAAGGGCATGGGGATGAAGCAGAAGAGGATAATCAGGAACACGGCCCCGCTGATCACACCCTGTGCTTCGGGACTGAAAGGAAGGTAAAGCGGGGAGTCAGCCCACCCGATCCCGGTCCCTGTCCCGCCCGGCGGGGCAACGCTACTTACACTGGCCGCCGCGAGGCCTTGTTGAGGTCTTCACCGAAGAGCCGCGCGGCGAGGAAGTGGTCCTTGAAGGCCGGGATCAGCGTGAGAGTGGCCC